ATTCAAGGCCAGGCTGGATGTGGCTCTGGGCAGCCTGGTCTGCTGGTTGGTGACCCTGCACATAACAGGGTGTTGAAACCAGATGATCATTGTGGTCCTTTTCAACCCAAGCCATTCTGTTATTCAATGATTTTCACCCCGTTCTTGCCCACTCTTTTCTCCCCAGGCTTCCCAGTGACCACAGTGCCTCCGGAGCCACCGGCCATCACCGTGCACATCCTCCTGTCCCCACCTCAGGCTCTGAGTGCCAACCAGACAGCACGAGGAGTCCTACTACGTTGGCAGCCCCCAGAGCAGCTCTCGGTGCCGCTGAGTGGTTACGCCTTGGAGCTGCGGCAGGACCGGGGTGGTTGGGAGGTGCTGGAACGCTCCATCCCCAGCACGGAGAGCCAGGTGTTGGTGCCAGGGCTCATCAAGGTGAGGATCTGCGTGGTGGTGAGGTGGGGGGTGCAGTAAATAAGGAATGGTGGTGATGATCTTTGCTCCCCTCCCAGGACGCCTTCTATGAGTTCCGCCTGGTGGCCTTTGCTGGCAGCTACATCAGCGACCCCAGCAACACAGTGAACGTCTCTACAGCAGGTGAGGGCTGCAGCCACCCCCCTGTCCCCAACCAGGAGGGAGAAATAAAGAATGATGGAATGTTTTGGATGGGAAAAGACTTCTAAGGTCATTTAGTTACAACCGCCGTGCTGTAGGCAGGGACATCTCCCATTAGATCAGGTTGCTCAAAGCCCCATCCAGCTTGGGTTTGAATGCCTCCAATGGAGTGGTTGCGTTGGAAAGATCCTTACAGATCCTAGAGACATGGAACAGTTGGGTTGAGTTGAAAAGCTCCTTACAGATCTTAGAGATGTGGAGTGATTGGGTTGGACTGGGTTGGAAAGGTCCTTACAGATTCCAAAGACATGGAATGGTTGGGTTGGAAAGGTCCTCTCAGTTCCCAGACAAATGGAATGGTTGGGTTGGCTTGGAAAAGTCCTTACAGATCCCAACGATATGGAACAATTGGGTTGGAAAGGTCCTTACAGATCAGAGAGGCATGGAACAGTTGGGTTGGATTGGGTTGGAAAGGTTCTTACAGATCCCAGAGACATGGAACAGTTGGGTTGAATTGTGTTGGAAAGGTCCTCTCAGTTCCCAGACACATGGAATGGTTGGGTTGGGTTGGAAAAGTCCGTACAGATCCCAGAGATATGGAACAGTTGGGTTGGAAAGGTCCTTACAGATCAGAGAGGCATGGAACAGTTGGGTTGGATTGGGTTGGAAAGGTTCTTACAGATCCCAGAGACATGGAACAGTTGGGTTGGGTTGGAAAGGTCCTTACAGATCAGAGAGGCATGGAAGAGCTGGGTTGGATTGGGTTGGAAAGGTCCTTACAGATCCCAGAGACATAAAATGACCAGATTGGGTTGGAAAGGTCCTTACAGATCCCAGAGACGTGGAACAGTTGGGTTGGATTGGGTTGGAAAGGTCTCTCAGTTCCCAGACAAATGGAATGGTTGGGTTGGGTTGGAAAGGTCCTTACAGATCGGAGAGATGAGGAACAGTTGAGTTGGATTGTGTTGGAAAGGTCCTCTCAGTTCCCAGGTGCATGGAATGGTTGAGTTAGGTTGGAAAGGTCCTTACAGATCCCAGAGATATGGAATAATTGGGTTAGAAAGGTCCTAACTCACGAAATCACTCAATTGTTCTTTATTTTTACAAACCTACGTGCCATTAGAGACAGGCACAGTAATTCCAATGAAAAGCTTTTAGCAAAGCACAAACCTCCTTAAAAACACTCATGGGAAGAGAGGCCGTGCTCTGTGCCACTCATTGATTCTACTACTTAAAAAGGGAACGCTGTGGGTGCACAACTGTGGCACTTTGTAAGACATTGCAGCAGCCCTACGTGAGCAGTTTGGTCGGCAGGGTCTTTGCGTGCAATGAGCACAACTTGAGTCCTTGCATTCCCACGGGTTGAGATTTCCTCCCAGCCTGCAGCCCCACACCTTCCTTGTTTTTATTGGGCATCCAAGGGAGCACCCAAACTTTTGCCATCCCCGCTGCGGTGCCGGGGGGTGCTGACCCAACCCATCTCCCACCCAATACAGGGATGGAGGTGTACCCATCCCGCACGCAGCTCCCCGAGCTGCTCCCACAGCCTGTGCTGGCCGGGGTGATTGGTGGAATCTGCTTCCTCAGCGTGGCCATCATCTTCAGCACCACGGCCGCCTGCATCATGAATCGACGGCGCGCCGCACGCATCCGGAAACGACAGCGAGGTAATGAACCCCATTGAGGTGTGGGGAGGGGGATTTAAAGGGAAAGGGGGTCCGTGGGGCTGTGTGTGCACCGCTGTCATCTCATCACTGTGTGTCATCCCCCCCCTGTTGTGTTCTCATGGCCTTCCAGATCCACCGCTTGTCTTCTCCCCCAGCAAGAAGCTCCCAGCTGCTCAGTAAGTCGTGCCCCACATCTCACTGCACTCTCCCCCCTCCCCCCCATCGTCGTTGGGTTTGGGGCAGGGAATTGAGCTCGGGGTACCACCCATGGATGCTCTGCTTTCTGCTTTTTGGAGTTTTGCTTAAAGAAAGCAGACGGCGTGCAGCACCCATTGGAATCCCTACTGTGAGCCCCCCCCCCAAATAACGGGGAGGCAATCGGATGCTCCAACTGAAGCAATTCTCTTCTCCTTCCAGCCCTTCTCACACCTCTGATAGCCCACCCAGCACAGCCAAGCTAAAGCTGCATCCCTCTCCGTGCCCCAGCCTACGCCGGGCTCTGTTATGGGGTGAGAAGGCAGGCACCAGCCTGGGGCTGAGCATCGCTGGGGGGTCCGGTGCTGGATACACCCTCTATGAGAGCCACGTTGGGGAGCACGTCCCACTGGAGCGCATCCGCCGCGGCCCCGACGGCCGCTTCGTGGTGGAGACCACCGAAAGGACCCCCCCACAACAGGACCCCCCCTCTGCACATCGCCAGGAAACGGAGCCCATCTGGCACAAGGAGGTGGCGTTACGTCCTCGCCCCCCCCGAAATCCCCCAGTGCCCTCTGGCCGCCGTCGGGGTCGATATTTCGGATACGGCAGCAGCAGCCCTGTGGATGAAGATGCTGCCCTGTGCATCCTCGATGTCAGCCCTGTGGCCTCTCCTGCCACTCTGCCTTACAGCCCTGACCCCCCCAGTACCCGTTGGGACTCACTGCCCCCCCAGGGCGCCCCCCCGGACTCCAACACCCCGCAGCGGACTGCGTCCCCCCCACCCCAAAGCAGCATCCTGCAGTACCTCAGCCTGCCCTTCTTCAAGGAGATGTGCGTGGATGGCGACTGGCCCCCCACCGAGGAACCACAGCAGCCCCCCACACCCCCCCAGCAGCAGCCCGAGGGGGGGCAGGACTGCACAGATCCATGTGCCAAGCTCCCCTCGGCCCCCACCCTCCTACAGCCCCCCAAGGTGCCACTGGGCCCCATTAAAGCCTCGCTGCCTGGCCCCCCCGTATGGTCGACCCCCCCGGAACCGACCCGCCGTGGCCCTTCTATTGATAAGACTGAAAGTAGGGAGGTGCCCCCCCCTGAGAAACTGCCTCGGGGCAGCCTGACCAGCCAAAGCAGTGGCCGTGGCAGTGCATCCTTCCTGAGACCCCCCTCACTCACACCATCCCTGGGGGGACCCGGACCTGGAACCCCCCCAGGGGATGGGGGCAGCTGGAAGGTGGGCACCGAGCCAGTCCCCATTGTGGGGGGGAAAAGGTGAGGATGGGGGACAACAGGGGGGGTGATGGTGGCGTTTGGGGACAGGGGGATGTGGTGACATTTGGATGGGAACAGTGGTGACACTTGGGGATGGGAATGATGGTGACATGGGGTGATAGTGGCACTTGGGGACAGGGGGACATGGTGATACTTGGGGATGGGGGCAATGGGAATGATGGTGGCAGTTGGGATGGGGGCAGTGGTGACAGTTGAGCTTGGGGACAAGGGGATGATGGTGACATTTGGGTGTGGGGACAGGGACAAAGGGATGCCAAATGGGTACTGAGCATGGGGACAGGGACATGGTGACACCTGGGGACAGGGGGACATGGTGAAACTAGGGCATGGGGTTGGGAATGAAGTGACACTTTGGGGACTGAGGGGCATGGTGACATTTGGGGACGGGATGGGGACAGTGCTGACACTTGGGAATGGGAATGATGGTGACATGGGGTGATGGTGGCACTTGGGGACAGGGGCACATGGTGATACTTGAGGATGGGGTTGGGGGCAGTGGGAATGATGGTGACACTTGTGGGATGGGATGGGGGCAGTGGTGACACTTGGGGACAGGGCATTATGGTGTCACACGGGGATGGGGACAATGGGAATGATGGTGGTGCATTGGGGATGGGGACGTGGTGACACTTAAGCATGGGGACTGCGGTGATGCTTGGGCACGGAGGATGGGGACAATGGTGGCAGATGGGGATGGGGACCAGGAGGTGCCCCCTCCTTCCCGTCTGTCCCCACAGGAGGGACACATCTGTGGACGAGAGCTACGAATGGGACACGGAGGTGACATTGGCCACCGACCTGCTGGCTGCCCTGCAGCTGTACCGCCCAGCAGAGCCCCCCCAGCCCCTCTCCACCATCACCTTGCGGGACCTGGAGCATCAAAGTGAGTTTGTCCCCAACCACGGGGACGCCATCGGGTCCCCATAAATCGGGGGAAGGGGAGAGGAGGGGGGGGGGGGGGGGGTCAAAATGTGCTGCTCTCCCTGCAGAGCCCAGTTCCACTCCGGTGACTTCGGTGGCTGCGGAGGCGTTGGTGGCAATGGGGGGACCCCCCCAGCACGGGCAGCACAGGGAGGGGGCACAGCAACGGCGGAGGCAGCGGCCTGGGGGGGGTCGGGGGGGCTGCGGTGAGCGCTGGGAGCTGGCCACGCTGCTCTAAGAACCCCATAGGGCTC